AAAAGGGGGGTTGGGGGGAAGGGGAAAAAAAAAAAAAAAAAAATCAATTACCGCCAGTAGGTCATTTCGTTCCTTAGTAATTTTTTCTAATTTCTTCAATTCTCTCAAGAGTTGTCTTACTCTTTGGAAGACTGAGAAAGGTTGCATTTTCACCCCTGGTATCTGAAGTGCTTTTTCATAGGACTGTACATGAACAATGTTCTTCTGCATGGGACCAACATGGTCAAGAATAACCTATTAGGACACAGGATAAATGATGAATGTGATACTGAGCTGGAAAAATCAACACTGAAAACTTATACTACTGTCGTGATGTGTAAAAGTTCTCTTTGGTGAGTTTCCCATTTAAGAATATTATTTTAATTTTGCAACAAATAAGTAAAATCCATGGCGATGTTGTCTAAAGCAAGACGAAGATATAACTTGCATTTACAATTCTGCTTTTTCTTCATGTACATACATAAAGGTTGTACAGTGACAAAAAAAGGCACATTCAGATTAGTTACTATTTACTGAGCATATAATTTCAAAGTAGCACATCTTTGGCAGTGAAGACAATTAAAAAACTGGTGCAAACCCTTTGATATCACTCTAGCCAACTCTGGTTTTTCTTTTTTGTGCTGCAAACCAGCCATAAAATGCCCTATGTTAAAGCTAGCCATTTTATGATGGTCCTATAAACAGTCTTATCAACATAGCTGAGATGATGAACTGTGATCGAAGCCAGGAGAAACCTCTGAAGATGGCTTTCCTGTCAAAGACAGCATTTCATATCACAACACCTCGAGCGGATGCACAGTTTAGAATCACCTTTATCGGTTTTGGATGAACAGAAATGTGCATTTTCATACCACAATACATGTTTTATGGAAGAATCAGTGACTAACTCAGGAAAAACAGAATGGCAATACCAACTCACAACTTCTTGGTTCTCCTAAAGAAATACAAAATCCTACTGAGACCTCACTCAGCTGGGAACTTCAGAAGAAAAAAAGCATAAATACAAATCACCTCTGGACCTTTTAATTTTTAATATTTTTGTTAAATTCCCTCTCAAGAAGATTTCATTTCAAAAGGCCCCAACTGGAATAGAGATGCTTATTCTCTCATTCATAAGCAGCCTGTATCAGGAATTTTTTGTTATTAGCATACTATCCAGGCTTCCATTTAAAATAAGGACATAGGTGAACATTATTTTCCAGAAGAAATATTACTTTAGTTTTTCCATATAATGTAGCCATTACAAAATCGTTCTCTGGATAACAAAGCTATAAGAGGTATAATATTTTTATCCCTTCCCTGAAACTGAAACCATGCTTTTTGCATTTCAGTCAGCTAATGATGTGGACTGCATGTGGTATAGAATCACAGATCATAGAATTGTTTAGGTTGGAAAGGACATTTAAGATCATCGAATCCAACCGTAAACCTAGCTCAGCCAAGTCCACCACTAAACCATGTCCATAAGCACCACATCTACACGCCTTTTAAATGCCTCCAGGGATGGTGAGTCCACCACTTCCCTGGGCAGCCTGTTCCAATGCTTGACAACCCTTCCAGTGAAGAAATTCTTCCTAATATCCAATCTAAACCTCCCCTGGCGCAATTTGAGGCCATTTCCTCTTCTCCTATCGCTTGTTATGGGAGAAGAGACCAACAAGATAAAAGAAAAGATACCGTAATGCTTTGCTTTACTTCACTCAAGCAGAGAAGGGAAAACTATTTGGCCAAGGTATCTCTGCAGTGAAGTCCCTGCATGATGAAATGGTTTTATGGTAAGTCACTCCAGCCTACATTTCTAGAAACATTTGCTAAACTCTGCCTCTATTTTTTGAAAAATAAGGCCTCATTTTCAGACTTTTATATTTCTTACTGTTTGATGCTAAGTAGAGTGATGGGCAGCAAGCATCTCTGAAAGTCAGCCCATAAACTTTCCAAAAAAGGAGACACTCAAATGTGGCATGTATGTCTGACAACATGTGCTTAAGTTACATACTCGAGTTCTCTATGGGCATGTTCTCAACAGTGCTTTTATTTCAAATGTTTTTGTTCAAACCATGACTGTGCTTCTTGAAGGGATCTCCCAACAGTCTCACCTTAGGGTTTACACTAAGCAGGTGTCTTGGATCATGCAAACTGGATTCCTTTCAAATGAAACTAAAGCAGAAGATACTCTCCAGAAGAAACTCTGAAGAAACCCAGCCACTAATTGATGTCCGTTCTACAGGATCAGTCCAAAGTAAGCCCCCAAGACACATTCAACACAGATATCAGGTCCTCTGCACCAACTGTTTTGCCCTACCAATGTGCTTCTCTTGGATTGCACTACTTGCCACTGTAGAAACATGTAGCCGAAATCATGACTGAAATAATACTTTCAGTCTTTGACCCGAGAGTTAGAATTTGTGTGATACTAACATTTCAAAGTCATATACTAAAAACTTGTTCATGGTAGTTTGCAGTGACAAAACAGCCTTATGCTTGTGCAAGCATATTTATGCTAACTTATTCATAAATATATAGGGAAAAAAGCCTATATAGGAGTTTTCACGGACCTGTCCATGTTTAAGTTGGTCTTTAGGAGAAAATTCTAACAGATCTTCTGATGACAGGATTGTCTTCATTTTGGCAATGTCCTTCTCAAACACTTTCACATGAGATTCAATGGCATCCAATTCCTAGATTTTGGGAACAAAGAGAATATTTGTAGATAGCACAAATACCAAAGCCAGCTTGCATTTCTGCCTTTCACTTGAATTTAAAAAGAAATAATGAAAAACAAGTGCAGCATATGCAGGATATGTTAATGGATGTTACCAATCAAAAGGCTAGTTATTATAAATTATGTATCATCATAACTTCTGAAGGAATTTAGCATCTAAGGTCACCTGGTCTGTTTAAACCCTGAATACAGAATTGAAATATCCTTGAAAAGTCACATTATAAATTACCAGGAGTGATAAGACACTTTTCCAGTGGTGATAGTTATCAGCATAGGAAACTGGCCTAATTACACTGTTGCAGCTTCCTATATGAAAAGTCTTATGTCAGATGGAAAAATGGATCCACATACAGTACAGCTGCTTGTGAAGTCTCATAGAGAAAGAGTCACAGAATAAAATAGGTTGGAAGGGACCTCGGGAGATCTCTGGGGCCTGTCATAGCAGGTTATTTGGGGCCTGATCCTGCTGAGACTTGGGTATCTCCTGGGCTGGGGATTTTACCCCCAGTTTGGGCCCCTGATCTAGTGTTTGACAAATCTCACTTCAAAAAAAATCCTTCCTAATATGTAGATGGAATGTCCTTTGCTGTAATTTGGGTCTGTTACAGCTCAAGTTTTTTCTGCACTCCAAGAAGAGTCTGGCTCTATCTTGTCTATGGCCCCCCACTATGTAGCAGTACACAGCAGCAATACCCGCCCCCCCCAACCCTGAGCTGTCTCTTCTCCAGGCTGAACTGACTCAGGTTTCCCAGCCTTTCCTCCTACATCCTGTGCTACAGGGCCCTGACCGCCTTGGTGGCCTTTCTGGACTCGCTCCAGGTATGTTTATGTCTTTCTTACACTGGGAAACCTAAAACTGGGCACAGCATCCACATATAATCTCACAGGTGCCAAAAAGAAAGATCGCTCCCATGGACCTCTTGCTCAGGCACCCCAGGATGCTGTGGCCTTCTTGTTGCGAGGTCATGTTGCTGTGTCATGATCAACTTATTGTCCACCAGGACCACTGGCCCTTTTAGCAAAGCTGCTTTCCATCTGGTTGGCCCCCAGCCTGTACTGGTATTTGGACATGTTCCCTCCTGGGTGCAGGACTTTGCTTTTGCCTCTGTTGAACTTCATGAGGTTTCTGTCAGCCCATTTCTCCAGCCTGTCCAGGTGCCTCTGAATAGGAGCCCTACCCTCCAGCAAGATATGCCCTTTTAATTTGCAGTCAACAAGCCCTTCACATTTCTCCTGCTAAACAAGGAGTTTCATCAATACTTCTGAACTTTACAGCTTAATTATATGCCGAACATCTTCTGATGATTTGTTTCCAAGCAATTAATTTCCTCGCTTGGCGCACGTACTAAAATCAGCATACCTTTTTTCTATGCAGGCAATATAAGCCGTATTTCATAACATATGATGAAGCTCTGATAAAAAGCACTTATAGATCACCCAAACTTACATCAGCCATATGCTGGATCTGTGGAAGAATCTCTGCTATCTCATGCTGTAAAGTTGCTACTTGATTATCTATTTCATTTAGCTGTTGCATTACACTGTCTGTTTCAAACACTGGTGTTAGCTCCTCCAGTTCCAAGTAAACACTGTGTAGAAGATTTTGCTTTTGCTCTGAGTCTTCCAAAGCCATCTGGAAACAAAATAAGAGCTTAGTTTCATCCATCAATGGTGAACGTGAAAGTTTCACAGAGGTTAGAACCAGAAGGAATCAGTTTTAATTTCCTGTATGCCATTGGCCATTGCATATATTCCCAAAAGCTTGGTTCAGACTAAAACTCTTCAGTCCTAAGGAAACTGAATTGCTGTATCCTATGGGCAGAAAACTGAGAAACTGATGCCATGATTTTAAGGGAATCAGTTAGATAAAATAAGTCTAAGTAAGAATGACAAAAGGCATGACGAGGAAGATTTCAAACTCAGAGAGAGGTTGCACTGCAAAAAAAGAAAAGTATGAGATCCTGGAGAAGATTCCTCTCCAGCTCCTGTGCCATGGTCAGGCTGACCCCAAGTACATGAACAAGACATGTCAGCCAGACACCTCAAAAGGGTTTTGTGCACACCAGCCTGCAGACAGTAGATGTAACAACATGCTCCAGAAAATATCTGGCCAGTTGTGCATGTCCATCTCCTGCAGCTAACTGGATGAGCTTTTGGATTAATTACAGTGAATGTCTTCATGAAGAATAGTGAGGATTGCAAGAAACGCATATGATCCACTTGTCTCTGTGGCATATGAAGGAAAGGACTGAATGCACGTCTGAACTCTAATGCAAGCCTTGAGTGCATTTCCAAATCCTCTCATTTTCCAGCCCAGGAATCACAAATGCAGGAGACAATAAGCTTTTGTCACAACAATGTTCACAGATTTTGGAAATCACAGTCTCCCCATTGTGGCTACGTGCTCTGTAACATAACAGTACAGAACAGTCAGCTACTTCTTGCAAGAAACTCTTACTAGTTTTAGTACAAAAATGTATGTTCAGAGCACCAACTTTCTCCCTTGGCCTAAGCCAAAGAGTGAATGTATAGAAAACTGAAATTTCAAATACAAAATTGCCAGAAATAGTCACTCTGATCTTCCCTGTAATATTACAAACAATTGATTCTTGAAATTACCAGTCAGAATTACCTTCAAGATACAGCGAGAACTGCCTTCCAAACCACAATTCACTTCAAAGTTTCCATTTAACACACAGACATCAAAATACCACTTTACCCTTTTTGGATCACGTGTACACAATACAGAAAGAACCGTACATATTCAGGCAGTAAAAAATTATTATAGTCACACAGTAAGGTAACAGAAGTCAATCAGACATTTTTGCAAGATAGATGCACTACAGTTCAGCACTTTCACAAGACAGATATGTCCAACGCCAAGAAGTATCTATATTTCATGAGTGTCAACTATAACTATTTTTCACTTAAAGGATTTACTGAAAACAGTAAATTATTTATGTCAGTAAGACTTAGGAATGCAAAACTGTGTCTGTACAGACCAACCAGTTCTAACGAGACCATACATCTACATCAACAGTTACCTGAAGGTCATCGGTATATTTGCATAAGCTTTTTGCAGAGTCATTTTGAGCATCTGCTCTTAGCAAGCAGTTGGTGTTTTCTATCCAAACTTTCACATTCTTCAAGAGTTCATCATAGTCTTCCATCTTGTTGGCAGCCTAGGAAAGGACAGGATTTTACAAAAAGGCACAAATGCATTTCTGTTCACCATATAGGATAAATACATCTATGGACAAGAATGAAAGAAAATGGGATGCATTTTCATCAAGGTCAGTTAAATTAGTAAAGTGAAATAAAGATCATAATTTTTCTGAAACAGTTCCATGATTTCAAGCTATATCCTCTAATCAAAGGTAATTTTGGTGCTTACGTGCTAATATTTCATGGGGTCATTGTTGCAATTTATATGGCAATGTTACTTTAATAGATAGCCCATTAGCAGAGTCATAGAAAACCATCTCATCACCACCCAGACGCATGAATTCCCCATGCTAACCCCTGTCAACCACGGTGCAGAGCTGGTCCCTTGGGGCAGCAGCTGAAGGTGATGTTTGCCACGCCAGAAACTCTTAGCTACAATGAGCCAACGCACCTAAGGCAGGCTTTTGACTAGTTACTCATTTGACAGCCTTTGATGATGTTTTACAAAAGCCTTTATTTTGTTTTTTAAAAGATGTGATTTCTTTTAAACTTTTACATTTTTCCCTACCTTGTTTAAAATGGCGGTTCTGCGCTCGGCAAGTTGCGAGACCTGTTGGTACTGCTGAAGGGGAGTCACTAAGATATCCATCAACTCCTGTGCATGGCAGGAATTCTGCTCTACTATGTCATGCACTTCTGCATCCAGTTCATTGAGTTTGTAATGCCAAAGGTCCAGCATATCCCAGATTTGCTGCATGTGGAGAGAGGGGAAATTGAATATAAGGTGAGGCTCAACGATAACAGCAGAGTTACTTGTTCTTCATGTGGGGCATGTGGAATTGCAAAGATTTCGGAACTGATATGATGAGAACAGAACACTCTGCATCTACTGGTGTGATTCTCAGTTGAAAGAAACCATGTATTTTCCTGTGAGAAAGACTCAGTAAATATTCAATAGCTAAATGCTTGCTTGTACTTCTCCTTTTTCAGACATAAAATGAATGGAGTACCACTTTACGCTCCTGCTAAACCAGGCTCTATAGAAACAACCAAAAATCTTTTAACAGCCACAAAAATTTTTTTGCGAAGAATTACCTTCTGAACTTCTTTGGCTTTTGCAATGTTTTCGCTCTTCTGTTGTAACATCTTTTCAATAGTTTGAAGGCCATTGTTAATAGTTTCTGCTTTTCTTTTCAGCACATACTGAGGGGAGTTCTGCAAGATTTCAAAGCTAACCTGTCAGAGTAAAGAGAAAACAACAGGGCAGATTACAAAGATCTGCTTGTTTCTATGCACCACCTCACCAAAAATATTCAAATTCTTTCTGTTTCTCTTGACGAGTCACTTAAAAACACAGGAATGGAATTACATTTGCAGGAAGAAGTGTTAATGTGAGCATGTTCAACGTTTACACGTTGTTCAATAATTTCCTCTTACTTAAAAATGACTGGCTGAGAAGGCAATCCCTGAAGAAACAAAAAATAAGACACTGCAACTCTCTGGGTGCTCTGTTTCAGCTGCCCCTGTTCTAATCTGTAACAGAGGCTAATCATGCTGCATTGTGGAAAGGGTCACGTTTAGATTTGTGCTGTAAGAAACTTAGAATGACCCCTTTCTGTCTCAGCTGACAGCTATTACTTCCATGTAAGAAATAAGGGAATATAGAAGTGCATCAATATATAATGAATTTCTAAATATAAATTTAAATCTTTATTACTAAAACAAAAGTAATAGCCCCATAAAGTATGTGGAACTTAACTTTACTCTGCAGAACTCCACAGAAATTAAAAACTGGTACACTGGGGGCCCAGTGTTCTACGTAAAGAGGAAAAACTCTCAAGTAAGCTGAAGTTGAGTAATTGCCTGAGCACAGAACTGAGCGACACAGTGAGGTACCAGGTTACTATGGACTAGAGGAAGTGCAGGGAGTGAGAAAGTCCTTGCTCTTAGCCCAAAGTGACATACTTTCTTACTAAACCCTGTTAGCTTTGTAGGGTCAGCCAAGCACCAGGAAATTGTCAAATCATGATAAATTCTTTGTGTGCTGCAGCCCTAGGATTTATGGGGCATATGCACATTGAACAGCTTTATGCCTCATTGATGCAAAAGATTTCTAGTTTAGTAGTTATACTGTTTTGAAGCTCCTTATACCGAAATACTTTATCCTTTTCGTGGGAAGAGGAATTAAGATCATTGTTTAGTTAATAAATTATTTATCCATTTTTATTTCTTAATTTTATCAACATTGTTTATTATTTATAGATTCCAACATGTAATGTCAGACCGATATAATAATACCCACAGTAAGGTATTCTATTGATAAAATTGCACTAGTGAAAATAAATATGTAGCAAAAAGAACTACAGTGCTCCTCTCAAATGCTCATGCTTGTACAAAAAAGCTATGAAGTCCAGTCTGTACGTAGTGCCTAAGACTCCTTGGAAAAAGGAGCTCAGACTGTAATCACTAAACACTTGACCATTTCTACTATCTTGGAGTATACAAGACATGAAAAATCATTGATGTTTGTAGTGCTAGTTTCCAAAACAGGAGAGAGTCATGTATGAGTGACGCGACACAGCTGGAAATGAGAAAACAGACTAAGCGCTGACTTCATATCTTTCCTCAGAAAAAACGCTGATCTGTCAATGCACTGGTCATCGGTAGGGCAGGATTTTAATTTCAAGACTTCTTACTGGGATAAATTTATTATATTTTTTCATATAAAATGCATGGCATCAAAAGTACAATTTATTTTCAATTTTAGGTTAGCAGATTTAGAAGAAAGCAGAATGTCATTAAAATATGAAAAGTTAATTCAATTTAACACATGCTAGTATCTCCTACTATGTAACTGAACTGATCTCCAGTTCCACTAGAATTTATTTTGTTTCCTAAACGCATTTTAAAAAATTCCAAGATAGTTTATATTGTTTTCCACTACCTAAATGTGAAAAGCAAATGTTATCTAGTTTCCAGGACCAGTTCTTTCACTCCAACATGTAATGTGTGGATTGGGATAATCTTTTTATCTCAGTAAAAGAAACAGTAAACAACAAAAAAACCCCAAAGCATAAATACTGTTTTACTTCCCTTCTCCTACTCTCTCCTGCCGAGTTGTTGGTTCTAAAAGGACTGCTTCCATTTTGAAACAGAAACTACAAAGTTAACCAAATTAAAACTAATAAGCTGTAACGAATATGTCTCTAAATATTTAATGCAACATAAAATGATCTGATAGACACTAACAAATAACTGGATTTCAAAATCATTTTATTAAACTTCCAAGTTTTATCAAATTACCTGAGACTTAGCCTTTAAAATTAGCATTAAACATTATTATTTCTGAAATAAGAGAACTGAAATATTTTTTCTTTTTTAAGTAACACAAATGAATAAATAACAATGATAATAATTATACCAGGCTAAAATCTGACCCCAAACTTACAGTATTACTCAATTTTCCTTTAATTTTGCTTTCAGTTAAATGTTTATACACACTGTAGTTAGAAAACATTGCAAAAAGCCGAGGTAATGCTATTTAAATTTCCTGTCCGCTTTTAAAGGAATGCAACCATGTCCCGAGGGGTGGTATAAAAAAACATGTCATGATACCCTACCATGTGTGCAAATTAAGATTAAAAAAATCTGGTTTCAAAGCCCTCTTTTAAGTTAGTTTTCAAAATATCTTCTCAGTTAAGCTATATAAAACTTCCCAATCAACACTGACTACTAGTTCAGTTTAAGAATCACACTGGATAGAAGACAGGATCCATATAATATCCAAGACTTTATTGCTAGTGGTTCTGCCACATCCTCTTTTAACAGAAAAGAAAAATACTATATTCACACTCCTTACTATAAGGTTATTCCAAAAGGAGAGAGTTAACATGAGAAATCTTTCCTCATGCATATATTTTCACCAAGGAAAATGCAAATGAAAATAAATAATGTTTCAAGTTAAAATTTATAGTTACAACATTCATCAAATATTGCTGTACTTATTTATACATTACAAAAAGGTAAACACAAAAATTACATCAACAGTTACCTTGTCTTCTAGGTCTTGCAACACTTTCTTGCAGTCCTCCAACTGTGTTTCGATCTCTGCAGGAACTACTGTATACAGTTCAGAATACTTGATCCGGAGTTTGTCCATGATATCCTTCAGAGTTTGACTTTCTTTACCAATCACGCTCTGAACCTCCTACAAAATTAAGAATAACTTCAGCAGTTTTACCCAGCTTTTACTGAGTGCATGTGTGTACACGTACATATGTGTATATATAGATACATACATACATATTGTGTTTTATATTTCCAATCATGATTATGATTTGAAAAAGTTGGTTTTGTGATATCAAACCTAATTTGACTACCTCTGCAAGCAGATTAACTTTGAGAAATACTCACTCATTTAATCAAATGATGCTTTTCAATCTGTAAGAATTAATTAAACTTGATACTACTCCATGTCAGGCAACTGACACACCGATGTTTATTGACAGGTATAGCAATGTAATCATTTGAAGTGCTCCTATGATTAAATGTCAACCTTTGGGCTCTCCCTTTTGCCAAAAATGCATTTGCTCTTTGAAAGACGTTTAATAGACAACGTTCATTCCTTCATTATTATAAACAACACAAAGGCCACAAAAAGCAACAGGTTTCAAGCTGAAGTGTCTGCTTTCAGGCAATTATGCAGAGCAGCCCAGCAGGCTCCTTTCAAAACAGTAGTTTCCAGTTCTGCATGAAGAATGTAGGTTTTATGAGATAAAAGAAACTCTAACAACTGTCTACAGCCTGTGGCCTAGAAATAAAATCCACTCTAAGTCCTCTTGCAGAAAGAATGAAGAAACTCATTTGTTTTGAAGGTTTTCTAGAATTTCAAGTTGGAAAGTTCTGTTTGTTTGCTTTATGGATCCTTTTCCCAATGCTCAGCTGTTTGAGACTCAAATGTAAATTCAAGTTATGGGGGAAAATTATCTAAAGCTCCTCAAGCAATGAAAGACATTAAAATTAACATCCTTTTCTTTTTCAGTCAGGGGTAATGGTAATCCATTAACCCCTAGTCTTCACTTGGCAATCTTTTCCCTTGCACAAATACAGTGCACAGAAGAAATATGTAAGAGTCTGAGACTGATTTATTTCCTGTCACCTCACGACAACTGGGTCTGATATTAAAAAACTCAAAACCATGAAACATCTGTGTGACTCGTTCTACCATAGAGAACGTTGCTGTTGTCAAATGGCCCAATTAAGACTGTGCCAACATTTATGGGAGTTTATAGATTCCCTGATTTGAATTTGAAAGAATCAGTTACAACATTAGTCTCTAAAACAAAGCATGTCTCTGCAAACTGGTTTCTGTATATAAATGCATGTTTACATTTCACAAATTATTTAGCTGGAAAGCAGGTATCTGTCAAAACTGTCCCAATTTTTTTCCTAGGAGACTAGATGATAGCATTTTCTGTTTGCATATTCATCTGTGTTGGTGAGTTACAACTTTGCCACCCGAATAACCTAGATTTGTCATCTGGAAGCAAAATAGGCATTTCCATTCAATAAATGCAATTGAGCCCCAAATAATGCTATAGATTTCATAAAAACTAGGTTTTCTTTG